CCAGTGTGGGTCTGAGTAATGGGTGTGTAGTGGCCAGGGAGCACACACACACACACACACACACACACACACACACACACACACACACGCACACACGCACGCACGCACACATCACATCCCCGCCCCCCTTGTGCACGCCTTAGTCCCTTCTACACTGGTTGTTTTTGACATTCCTGTGATGGGTCATCACCCCTCTTAGTTTTTGTGGCTGCCAGTTTAATCACCCAGCTTCTGGGCAGCCCGAGTAATTTTTCTGCTCCATACAGAGAGCTGTGGGAACAGTGTGTCCTATATTCTTTCCGGGGCAGTTCTGTCTTGGGTCCAGAGAGGTCAAGTAACTCCTTAGTGACTCAGACTTTCTCCATGACCCCAAAGCCCTGCTCTTCACTCAGGCTGAACTTCCTGAGCTGCTCCCAGAACACTCAGGACCTTTCAGGGACCCAGGAAAAAGTGGAATGTCAAAGAGCTTGGGAAGCCACGGACTGAACGAGGTCAAACATCTCCCACCCCCATGAATTTTTGTTTTAATTAGAACTCTATAAAATGTGTACTCTTGATTGAAATTAAAGAGATTTATTTGCCCCAGAGGGGCAGAGAGCAGAGAATGAGATAAAGACAGGAGACAGAGGGCAGGAGAGAAGGGGAAGGGAACAGGGGGAGGGGGCAGAGTCCTGGAGGACAAAGGACTGACTGGATAGAGAGCAGACAGACGTGGCCCACAGGAAAATGGCGGTGTATAAAGGTACGAGGGGAAATCCCGTGTTAAGATGAGGTGTTTAATTTTAATTGGGCGTGTTAATTAGGTGAGCCAAAGGGGGCTTTTGATTGCTGGACTTCAATACTTGGATAGCTGGACCTTGGTCGTCAGCTTCAGGAGGAGGAAGTGGTCAAATAAGAGAACAGACCTTGGGGGCTAGCTTCAGGAATGTAATCTAACAGTTTTTAGCAAGGCAGAGGGGCTGGGGAGAAGGGCCAGGCCGGCCAGAGCCACCGTGGGCCAGTGTCCCTTGAGTCTCTTAGGATGACACCTGAGGTGGGCCTGTGGGCCTATGCACATGCATTCACCAGTACACACACATGTGCACCCACGTGGACACACAATTCACACCGTATGCTTTAAAGAGGGACAGTCACAGTGGTCTCCACACTTTTTTTTTCAATGACTATTGTTTAAAATCTTTTAAAATTGTGTTTTGGGGGGCTGTGATTTTTGTCTGCACTTCCAGAAGTCCGGGATTCATGTCCCAGCACCCACACGTGGTTCACAAACATCTGTAACTCCTGCCTCGGGAATCGGATCCCTCTTCTGACCTCCAGAGAGAACTGCACGCACGTGGTGAGCAGACATATATTCAGGCAAAACGGTCACACACAGAAAATGAAAATAAATCTTTAAAAATTACGGTTTTGGTTGGCTTACAAAAATGTGTTTCACTGTGACTTTTTTTTGTGCATAAATATCATACTTGGTTCTTTTTAAAGTTGGTTTTATTTGTGTGTATTGTGTCTGGATGTGCACATGTGTGTACATGTGTGTGGAGGCTGGATGCCGGGTGTCTTCCTCCCTACGTGGCTCAGGCCGACCTAGAACTGGAGACCCTTCTCCAGCCTGCAGAGTGCTGGGATCACAGTGGGCGGCTCCACACTGGGCTGTGCTCCTGTCTGTTCTGAGTCTGCCAGCACCACAGTGTTACGGCAGTGGAAATGCTCTTCTAGGGTTTTCAGGGAAAAGCACACAAGGGTTTTACGTCCCTAGAGTAAGTGTGCAGGCAGGTGGCTGCTCTAGACTGGGAGATGTTATGTTGGGGTGGGGATCATGGGAGCTTTGACCTTTGGAGCATCAGAAACTGGAAAGCCCTTTGATGTAAAGTAGATTTGCCTCCCCACCCCTGCCTCTGCCCAAGGCCTCCCAGAGTGGACTTGGTGCGGTTCCTTAGGATGTCCCCATGTTCCTTGAGCTGTATTTACCTCCTGCCATGAACAGTGAATTCTCAGATTAACATTTTATTTTGAAAAAAGTCTCATGGAGAAGTAAAACAATGTGACCTTGTTTTTGTGTCTGTGGAGCGTTGGACACTGATGCAGACTGATGTCTGGAATACTTCTGTGTATGTCAGGAACAAGACAAGGCACAGGCAGTGTGTCTGTTTAAGAAGGAAATCTGTTGTACTTGGAAATAAGATGACTTAGAGAGAACTGCCTTTATCTCATCTACACAAAGTCCCTACAGGTTAGTGCTTGGTCTACTGACTTACCAGCGTGGAATGACCGTCCTGTGTTCTAAACTGTGCCCAGCTCCTCCTGACTCATGCTTCAGAGTATGCACACAAGAAGGCAATGCTCCCTCTTAAAATCTCTGACTCCTGACCTCTACATCATAAGCCTTTGCGACTGGATTGTGACCACTTCATTAAGTCGGCCAGCAAGCTTTCCACAAAGGGCCAGATGGTGTAAATATCAGGCGTTGTGAGCCATACATTCTGCTGCAACTACCCAAGTCTGCCTGGTGGTGCAAAAGCAGCCACAGACCATGTGTGAACGAGTGAGCCTCCCAGGGTTCCCATAAAACTCCACAGATGCTAGAATTGAAATATCGATAAATGTTCTCTTTTTATTCCTTTGTGTAGTGTTTTTGTCTATCTGTATGTTCACCGTATGTGTGCAGGTACCCACCGAGGTTAGAAGAGGGCGTCAGATGGAACTGGAGTTATATGTGGTTCCAAGCTACTCAGTGTGGGTACTGGGAACCAAACCCAGGTCCTCTGGAAGAGCACCAAGCCCATAACTGCTGAGCCATGTCTCCAGCCCCTCTCTTGTTTGCTTCTCCAACTATTTAAAGATGTAAAATGGTTGTTGGCTCACAAGCTGTAGAAAAACAGGGAGTGAGTTTAGCTAGTAGAGACTCGGCCGTGATAACTACTCTCTAGTAAGAGAGTGACCTACTGGATGTTTTATAGATGATGTGCTTCTCTTGATTGAAATTAAAGTTCCAAGTTAGCCCAAGAATTCATCCTATTGACTAGCTGTTTATTTTACAAGGCAGAGCCAGCATTTCTTTGGGAGGTATCTTTCTCACTCAGATATTCTGGTCCTTTCAACAGGCATGCCTCATGCCTGTTCTGCATGTGCTGAGCTGGAACAGTGAAAGGACTAAGTACCATCCTGTTCCAACTCCATTTTGGGCTTGCTCAGACAGTTCTCAGCCCTCTACCTCCCTCCCCATAGCAGTCACATCTGCCTCGGAGATTTCCGTGGCCTTGACCATGGTCCAGATGTAAAAACCAAAATAATAAGCACACTAAAATAACTAGAAGAGATATAATTCAAAAAGAATTGGCAAGTTATGTCTAAAATAGTTACTGTGGTTCTGCTAGGAACGAACCTTTTCATTCTGGCCTTCTTCTCACTCAGATGTGAGTTATGGTCTTGGTGGGGTTTTGCCTTTAAAAACTCTGCATCCCTGAGCTTGGACCCCAAGAGACTTCTCAGAGGCACAAACCTACTTGGGCCATGAATAAAAAGGACTTAGAACTTTTAATTGGCTTACTCAGCATCATTGCCAATAACTGCCCGAGTAGATCACTACAATGGTGAAGAGCATTGTAAAACTGCCTGTTTCTTCTGGTGGCACATGCCCTGTGAGGTCAAAGTCAGCCTGATCCACACAGCCAGCCTGTTCCACATAGATGGTTCCACACCAGCCAGGGCTACACAGGAAGACCCTGACTCCAAAACTAACTAACCAACTACAACAAATAATGCCCATTTATCGTCTTTTTGAATTCTCAGTAGATGGTGTGTCCAGGGCAGCCCCTCCCTCGGAGAATAAGCTCGGGCGGCCCACTCCCAACTTGTACAAAGTGTTCACACTGGCCTTGGGCTCCGTGTTCCCCTCTGGCTCCATTGCCACCGTTAGCCAATTCGGGCTACCCTTTGGGGCTCAACCACAGCCACCTCCTGCCTCAGGACAATAGACCAATTCCACCCCCAAAACCAGACTATGATGGCTATTCTTGGTTGTCAACGTGACCACATTTGGAACTAAAACCCAAATGTTGGGGGGCTGTGGTGGGGGTGCCTCCTTTGTCCTTTCCTTTTCTCAGTACTGGGAATGGAACTCAGGGCCCTGAGCATGCTGGGCAAGCACTCTACTACTGAGCCACAGTCCTGTCCTTTTAACCCTCAACTCCCCCACACCTACCCCACCACCAAGATGGCCAGGTAGACACTGCCTAGTCAGAGAGGCACCTGCTTCCTACTAGTGACCCGGCCCAACAGGATGAGGAGACTCCGCCAACACGTTCAAGAGGTTTCACCAGCCCAAGTCTGGGAGTTGTCTCTCACTGCCAGCAAAGGCTGTTGGCAGGCCTTCTCCTCACGGAGGACCACATGGGCGCTGTGCCACCGTGTGTGGCAGAGGGGCCAGCTACACATTCTTCCCTAATTGTTAAATCATATGAATGGGTGGGTCTGAATTCGCCTTTGGGAAGCCAAGCAAGAGCGGCCATCAGCTTGTGCGTGCTTGTGGGTGACATGGTTGGTGGCCGTCTGTCTCCCTTTACTGGGTCAACACACTGTGACTCATTTGTGACTCACATGCTGATGGCATCTCTGGAAATACCCCTCATGACTTTGAAGACTTCGGTGACAACAGTAGGAACTTCTTTCTGGTGGAGGTCTCTTGAGGACTCAGCAGCTCTACTGAATGTTACTTAAGAAAACCCAAGTTTTAGAAACAACTGGTCTTGGTTTTTTGTCTTGTTTTGATGGAGGGTCTCTCTACATAGCCCTGGCTTCCTGGAACTTATGTAGATCAGAGTGGCCTCGAACTCACAGAGATCCGCCTGCCTCTGCCTCCCCAGTGCTGGGATAAAAGGCGTGCGCCACCACCGCGCCTGGCTAAAACTTCTCAAAAGTCAATACTTTGTAGAAAAATGGCCAAAGTAAGGAAGGTAAAGCGGGCGAAGGGTGAAGAAGAAAAACTCACAGACGTTTTAAAGTTCAGTATACAATCCTTTATTTCTAGCTTTAAAAAACCTGACTTAAATTATCACGGCACTATTTACAGGATTAATCACTGCTATGTGTGAGGTGCAGGGGTGGACCATGTCCATGCTAGGCAAACACTAAGCCATCACACTGGACATGAAGGAGACATGACGGGACCCTCTTTGTGACAGGCTGGGATGGCCGGGACAACCATTCCCAAAGTGAAGGGAGGGCCCCAGTCTCTCGCCACCAGGGCAGCTAACAGTAAGTGATCATATGCCTTTTTAGTGTTAAGAGAAACCCTTTTTTTTCCCTGAGATATTTTTCTGTGGAATCCTTTTAGATACTTGTATGATCCAGAAAACTCATAAAAAATAAACAATACACCGTCTTCCCCAGGCCTTTCGGCCTCCCTGAGGCAGAAGTCCTTGGGGCATTGGTGGTCCCTGCAGAGTCCAGGCAGAATGGCCTCATCATCGTCCTCCCTGGCTCATAGTGTTTGGAGCACATCATCTTGCTCCTTTTCTGGAGAGGAAATGATTGACACAGAGTCCCAGGCATCATCCTTTGGGAAACTGTCCTTGTCCAAGGCTTCTAAGATGGGTTGATCTGGGTCCTTTAGATACTAGGAAAGGTTAGAAGGCAAACAGTTATACACGGTTCCACACGCCAGGTCTCCAGGTCTCTCCTTGTCATTGGAAACGTCATGTTATATTCAGGTACAACTTTGTCGACTAATGAAGTAATAGCATCAATGACAATACTCTGTTGTTACTACAGTGATGCCGGCACATGGGAAACACATACTCTGCCGCTGGCACATGCCCGGCCCTGATTTCCAGCATGCGCCTGTCTCTGGCCCTCATCTCAGTAATACCTGTAACACGGCTCTAGAGGCAGGCCTGGGGTGGAGCCCCATGCAAGAGTACTTGTCTAGCAAGTACAAGGGGCTGGGTTCCATCCCCAGAATTGTTAAAAACCAAAACCAAATCAAGCAACCTGAGACTTAAGGGTCAACCATGTTCATCTGATATAAGCTGTGAAGGGCAGGACTCAGAAAAAGTAGGACTCCCGGCTGTCCTCAGTGTACACTTTGTGGATTGTGAACTTTAAAATATTTAAGAAATGTAACATTTGATGGTAAGGGTGCTTGCTGCCTAGCCAAACCGGCTGCCTTTGATTCCTGGGACCCCAAGATGAAAGGAGAGAACTGGCTCCTGAAGGTTGTCCTCTGCCTTCCACACACAGCACGCACCCCCACCCACCCACTAAAATAAAAGAAGTAACCTTCAGCTTTCATTCAGCTGTGATGGGGTAAAGCAGGGAACGTCCCTAAGGACTGCTATAGCCCCTCCTCCCGCTTGCCCACAGCCCTGGGGTACGCTGGGGTGGGGTGTGGGTCCTCACAGGAAGAGAGGTCCCAGAGCCCGGAACTTCCCCTTTTGTCCTTGGCTGTACCCAGGCTCTGCCTGCAGCGCTTAGAAGTGCTGAAAGAGAGACTTCGAATGCTAACGGCCAACAGAAAAGAGGAACAGGAGTCACGCGCATGCGTGAAACCAGACACGGAAGTGAAACCATTCTCTGTTCTCATGTAACACCAGCGACCTTGGGCAATTTTTCACACTTTCCCAAGCAAGTGCATCAAAACCTTAGATTCCTGTCTCAGAGAAAGGGCTGTGGTAAACCCAGACTCAGCTCCTCTGAGGGTTGTACCCAAGAGGCAGGATGAGCCCAGTAAAACCCCAGGGGTCATAAGGACCTGTTATTCTCTGACGGTGTCAAAACCAGGGAGCCCTTAAACCCATCACCACGGGTGCCACGTGTTTGCACAGACTCCGATGTTATCCAACATTCATTTTACTGCTCTTTAGTCTGTGTGAATGTATGTGTGTGGTCAGCTCTCTCCTACCCTGTGGGTGCTGGGATCACAGGTGTGTGCCACCCTGCCCAGCTTTTAGCTATACCATTTGAAACTACAGTGTCTGCTCTTGGGCACCAGAGCCCTGCTGGGTCACTTGCTTACGCATCTGCTCACTGACCTCCTTTATCTGTTCCGGGATGTTTGGTGGAGCTTGAAACCAGTATTTCGCCCGGCTTTGGTATTTGCGGAACAGGAAGCGGCAGGCCCCTGTCAGCGCCAGCAGCAATGAAAAGATCCCCATGGAGATCAGGATGGCACACAGACTGGTGGAGGCTAAAAAAAAAAAAAGACATAACAGTAAGCAAGACACAAATGGCGGTCCATGTTTCATCCACCACTGCTTGACCACATTTGTGTCCCAGGAAAACCGACAGGCCTCTCTCCCACCCTCGCCTTGTGCACTTAAATTAATAATTTGGATCTGAAAACGTGAAATCTGAAAAATTCTCTCCCAAAATGAAAAACTGCCCTGTCATGATCCCACAAGGGGAAAGTCCCACATCCGCATTCGTGTGATGGGTCACAGTTCGGGGACCAGTGCACTTGGGGCAGTGAGAAGGTTCAGCAAGGAAAGGCCCTTGTCCCTAAGCCTGACAGACCTCAGTGTGACCCTGGAGACCCATGTGGTGACAGGAGAGCTGTCCTCTGACCGCCACTCAACTGCGCGCGCATGCACACACACACAGAGAAAGAGTAAATAATAATGCCATAAAAAATTCCCAAACATCAATATACTAAAAATATTATATAAAACCCCCTTCAGGCTATTTGTATTATGTATCTATAAAACATAAGGGAACATTTTGTGTTCAGACTTGAGACTCATCCCTAAGACACCTTGTTATGCTTATGCAAATATACTAGAATCTGAAACAAGAGAACGTCAAATCTGACATACTTCTGGTCCCAGGTGGTGTGGAGGCTACTCAGCCTAGTCATGGCAGCCCCTTGCTGCTACAGACCTCAACATGATCAGACTTCCAGGGAAGCACTTCGGGGTCTCTCTGCTCCTACCACCTGCCACCCCACAGCACGCCCGTCTTCACTATTTTGGGAGAAGCTTCTTTGCAACACATAACGGATGAATGAAGGTAAGTCTTACCCTCCGCTGCTGTTTCATGGCAAGATACGTTGCTTAACGAAAGCCCAGGTCGACAGATATTTTTCTCTCTCACAATCAGCTGTGCCTCGGTTTGTAAACAGTATACTCTCAACGGCTTCAAATTATCCAATACAATGGAGTTCTTCTTGAAAGGACCTCTCACCTGGGTAGACAGCACCAGCCACACAGGTGAGCCAGCCAGCCAGGGCCAAGTGGCTTTTAGCTTTCCTAGTGCCTCCTCAAATCCACGGCGAGCACAAACAAATGGTAACAACATTACAGGGCTGTGAGCGCTCATAGCCTCGTGCAGCAACCGGAACTTAACAAATTCTAATTTCTAGTTTAAGAATTTCTCCTATAAAATTAATACATTGGGCTGGGGAGATGGTTCAGTGGGCAGTGTTCACTGTGTAATCAATCACAAGGAGCTGAGTTCAGATCATAGCAGCCATGTAAAAATCAGGCATGTTGACTCTTTGCCGTATCCCCAGAATTGGGGGAGCAGAGACAGGTGGATCCTTGGAGCCCAGTGGCTGAATGGGGAACTCCAGGTGCAGAGAGAGACCCTGCCTCAAAAATAAATAAGGTGGAGAGCAACGGAGGAGGTCACCTGACATTGACTTCTGTCCTCGACACACACAAGCGTGGATGTGTGTACCTGTGCACATGCACACGTGTACATATACCTCACACACAGACAATAAACACCTGGGTCTTGGGTCAGAAAACAGAGAAAAACATCTTCCTTTAATTTTAGTTTTTCCTTTAATTCCCAAATGGCTTCTGATGAAACTTGCTGATCCCTTTATAGTTTTGGTCAAAGTGACTGTAGGTATTTATGTCCTCGGGAGATAGCTGGACCCAATGTTCTCAGGCTGACAAGGTCCCTTGGATCTGATGTCCCTGTCAGCCTTCCTGCTGACCACATCTGTCTCTCGGCTTAAATCGAACAAAGCGCCTGTGATGTCCCGTGTGTGTGCCCTCTCATACTTGGAAGTATTAATCCCTGGGGGTTTCAGGCGATCTCCACCTAGTCATGTGTGGCCTTTTCACAAACCATTCAGACCATTTCCACGGCACTGCAGATCATGTAGTCCACATCAAAAGTGGTCCCATCAAAGGGAAAGAAAGGCCGATGCCAGGGAGGCTTGTCCTGGGGGTGCTCCCATGTTTTTTTGTGGCCTGATCGTAACTGCGGTGATACCACAGATCTATGGCCGTCCGCAAGGCCTAACTAAACGGTTTGAAGGGCAACAGGTCCCCATACCTCCTCAAAGCCCAGATACCACAAACCCACCATAGGCAAGGAACCAGCAAAGGCTACACATGGAAGCAGACAACAGCAGTGGACGGCACCAAAGGCTGTCAGACCCTCCCAGGACAGCAAGGCTAGCACGGAGAGTAAGCCGGGCTCAGGGCTCAAGCTCCAGGAGACTCGGGGACCCTGGTCTCCTGTGTCACGTGGAAAGCCTTTCTTCTGAGTCGGAAACGCTAAAGAAAAGAAACCCCAAACAAAGAAGAGAAGTATTCTTGCCTGCTGGGCCCCTGCTTTTTCCCAGTAACGGACGCGATACTCAAACACTGCCTCCCTCGCCACATCGAAGGGAGGGGAGAAGTGGAGGGTGAGGGAGCCTTTTCCTGGGGTCACTGAGATGTTTTTCGGAGGCCCAACAGTAACTGAAATAGAATTACAAACAAACAAAAAACTCATGAATGACATAGAGACACTCAATATACACACCCATATACACTGTGTATACGCACACTGTCTATAGTCTGCCCGACATACTTCTACATGATTGTGTGCTCACACATTTAGACCTACGTAAGCAATGGGCTGCACTCAGATGCCTGCTTTGAATGTGCTGTTTGCTGAGAAGCCCATATCCAAGTGGAAGGGAAGCCCTGCAGATCCCACATGTGGCCCCAAACCACATGTGGCGGGTGCAGGATTCACCCCTGCCAAAAGGCCCTCTGAGCTGCTTTCCGTTAGAACTACATGGACGTTGTTTCCCAATTCCCACCAGGGAGGGACATGCCTAGTTACAAGAGTCTGCACACAGCACGTCTCAGGGAAAGGGCCTTGCACAAGGCATTCAAGCCTGTGCAGCTGAGATGCTGTTTCTCAGTTGGAGGTCACGTGACAGCAAGCAAAGCTTCCAGAATCATGGCTGGCATCAGAATCCCAGAGAAACAGGACATAAAGTTAAGACAGAGGTCAAGTTTTTATTCAGGGTGGGAAAAGATGTGTAAGATTTGAAATTTGCAGAGTAATTAGTGGATCTGGAAAGCATAAAATTAAGTGAGGGACCCAAACTCAGAAAGAAAAAAAAAATGCATGTTCTCCCTCACATTAGGATCCTAGTCTATAGTGTTCATGTGTATGTAAGTAAACAGGATTAAGTGTGGTTGTAATATAACACTTACTCTATCATTCAGGTTTTCTTTCATTGTTGTTTTTTGAGATAGGGTCTCTGTGTGGCTTTAGCTGTCCTGGAACTCACTGTGTAGTCGAGGCTGGCCTTGAACCCACAGAGATCTGCCTGTCTCGGCCTCCCAAGTGATGGGATTAAAGGTGTGTGCCACCCTTATCCCCAGATCATTTTTTAATAAGCTGACATTTTAATGGTTCTGGATTATTGTGAGGATTTTTTATTTAGTTAGTTAAATTTATTTGCTTAGTTTAATTTTAAAATTTCTATTACATTTTGCGTTGTAATGATGGTAACAATAAAACCTGCCATGCTAACTAGGATCTCACCTCTTAAAAAATAAAAAATAAAAACCTAGCCCAGCCAGGCCGTGGTGGTGCATGCCTTTGATCCCGGCACTCAAAAGGCAGAGGCAGGTGGATCTCTGTGAGTTTGAGACAGTTCCAGGACAGCTAGGACTGTTACACAGAGAATTCTGTCTCGAAAACCAAAAAACAAACAAACAAACAAAACCCCAACCTAGCCCAAATAAATAACTATAACTGTTTAATACAGCATCAACTATCTAGACAGTGGTTACATATCTAATTGTCTTATAATGGATTTCGTGTATGTGCGTGTGCATGCGTGTGCGTGTGTGTGTGTGTGTGTGTGTGTGGTGTGTGTGTGGTGTGCATGTTGTGTGTATGTGCGTGTGGTGTGTATGGTGTGTGTGTTGTGTGTATGTGCGTGTGGTGTGTATGGTGTGTGTGGTGTGTGGAAGCAGGAGGCTGATATCAGGACTTATGCTTGATCACTCTTACCCCTCTTCACTGTTAGCCACCTTCCTTTGGGGACCCCTCCTGGAGATCCCACCTCCACCTTTAGGGGCTGGAATTACAGGCAGGGGCACCCATACTCTTGGTAACTGTGTAGGTTTCTCGGGATCCGAACTTCGGTCTTCACGCTTGTGTGGCAAGAGCTTTAACCACTGAGCCATCCCCCTAGTTGCTTGGATTTATTTGTCAAGACACAAGTGTGTGTGAACCAACCACAGACCGAGGAAGCGTCTGGCGTGGCTGAACTGTGACAGACACAGCACCTGAGGTTTGCTTCCTGAGTACCCAAGACGCACTGCTTCATCCTGCAGTTCAACGTTCACAGAAAACCTCACGTGACAGGCACTGTTGGAGTTTGAGTGAAAAATCTTCCTATCATACGATCAGTTGTGCTGGATCAGGAAGGGTGACTAGGATCTGACACACCAGTGTCTCACCCAGCACACAGGTGGGTGCCCTCTCGGTAACATGGGTGGGGACTGTGGTTCAGTAGGCCAGAACAGTTCAGCACGCATCAGGCCCCGCTCTCCAGAACCGCAGCAAAGCAAACAAAAAAGGGGTGTAACCGTCTTCCAGGAAAACAGTATTTACGGTAACAAGGGAGCAGGTCAAATTTGGAGCCTGGTGTGGCCAATCCCATCCCTTTAGTGTCAGACTCTGGGGTCAGTCTCTCACAACCCTCCCTCCCCGTTTGTCTTTGGCTTGTTTAGGATGAGGGCCAAGACCTGGGGCGTGTAAAGAAAGCCTGGGCATTGTAGAGCATTATCTTTTTAAAGATGTATTTATTTTATTTATCTCTGTGTGGTATGTGGGTGCCCAAGAAGGCAGAAAAGGGTATTTGATGTCCTGGAGCTGGAGTTGAAGCTCTCCAGTGGGGGTGCTAGAAACCGAACCTGGTTCTGTGCAAGAGCGGTCTCCCTAGCGCCTGTGAAGCTTTCTGCCCGAGTTCTCTTACCATTACAGTAGCGTTGAAACTTAGTCGAGGTGACCCAGTCGGAAGTGCGCTCCCCTTGCCTGGCTCGAACTCGCAAGAGAACACTGTATAAGCCTGGGAAACCCTTCAATCGGCCACCTCCTGTGAAGTCACACTTGGTCACTGTGATGTCCGTACAATTCACCCCTTTGAACGTGTTCCAAGAACCTGTACTGCTAGGAAAGAAAACAAGATTTCAATTCACTATTCTCCAGAAATACTATTTCCTACAGAAAAGCTGCAATCACTTCTCCTTTTGGCAAAGGTCAAGTACAAAAACTCTTTGCTAAGAATTAATTCATATGCCATACCTGTTTCGATGTATTCAACACGATGTTTTTGGACAGCCAACTACTATTATACCAATTTTAAAATATGTTGCTACCCCTCCCCTGGCTCCCCCCCCCCCCCAAAAAAAAAACCCCACCTGGCATCCTGTAGCAGGAATCTTAGAGAGTCTTATTAATAAAATCAAATCCGGGGCCAGTTATTGGGGTGAAATGCTGGAAGATCAGAGAGACAGAACAAGCCACAGCTAACCTCACCTGGCCGACTTCTCAGCTTGTCTTGTTTCCTCAGACTGGAAGCTTCTGTGTCCTCATATCCGAATGGCTCTCAGCTGAACTGTGCTGCTAGAAGCCTGAAAGCTTAACCAGCCAAATGCTTCTAGTTTCTGGCCTTATATACCTTTCTGATTTCTACCACCACTCCCTGGGATTAAAGGCTCACTTTCTGGGATTAAAGGCGTGAGTCACCATGCTTGGCTATATCCTTGAACAGATGGATTTCTGCCTCTGGAATGCTAGGATTAAAGGCGTGTGCTACCACTGCCTGTCCTCTATGTTTAATATTGTGGCTGTTCTGTCTCTGACCCCAGATAAGTTTATTAGGGTGCACAATATTTCAGGGAACACAATACCACCACATTATCCATTGATAGGAATTCTCCATTTTCCCTCAACCTGGTGCCCCAGTCACAGGCAACAACGGATGTACTCTCTGTCTCAACGGGTCCCTCTCATTCTGAATGGAACCATACCACTCGGACACCTATGACAGGCCCATTCATGCTACAGAATGTATCAATTCTTTTTTAAAATTTTTTGTGTTTTATTTTTATGTGAATGCATATGTGCCTTTGAGTGTTCATGTACCCCACCTGCATCCATCCAGGAGCCCAAGGAAGGCAGGAGAGGGCACTGGGTCCCCTGGAACTGGAGTTACATACAGCCACTTGGGTGCTGGGCAAACGAACGTATGCACTCTTAACCATGAGTTCTGTGCGCGTTACATTTATTTGTGTGTGTGTGCACCACAGCACACAGGTGGAAGTCGAGGACAACGTGTGTGGAAGTTCTCTATGCCACTGTGTGGGTTCCAGGGACTGAACCCCGGTCCTCAGGCTTGGCAGCAAGTTCTCTCTCCCTCACTCTCTCCCTGGTCCCATCGATCAGTTCTTTCTTTCTTCCTCCGTCCCCAGACTCCCACTGGAGCCTGCTATGACGGCGCTCACCAGGGATCCTAGTTTTCTAGTGACCATGACACATGGATTATATCAGCCTGGATTACACGATGAGTTTCAGACCAGTCTGCAACACACAGGAGACCCTTTCTCCGTAACTAGGAAGGGGGAGGAAGAAACAAGGAAAAAAGGAAGAAAAAAGGATCCCTTTGTATGGGGGGAGCACACTTCGTCTACACGTTCATCAGCGGGCAGACATGTTGTTGTCTATACGTCTGTCATTTTGAAATGGGTGACCAGGGTGCCCAAGGGAGCTTCTCATCACACACACACAGTACCTAATCCCAGGGTCTCCAAGCGGAGGAAGAGATCGTGAACAGCAGGCATCCCCGCCCAGAATGAGTACTTTCTTAAGGACTTCTAACCCCCATTCTGCCAACCCCATTCTGCCAGCTGTTGAACTTGAAGGAAAAGGCCCTACATCTCAAAGGACTCACTCCCTGATTCCTCAGGGAACTGAGTACTCCTGCTCTGTCATCCCCCCCCCACCCTCCCCCCAGCTCCCGGACTGTCTTCCAACCTTGCCTCTATCTCAGAACAACATTTTAAAAATGTCTCTCAGAAAAGAGACTTATGGGGGAATAGGAGTTCTGAGGGAAGGATTCCCTTTCCACGCGGAAGGTAAAAATAAGGTGATTTTGTTTCATTTAAATGAACAATGAAATGAACACACCTCAAGTGCACTGTTCACCACCGGACCCCACTACATCAGTCCGTCTAAGCTTTATTAATTAGACGAGGCATCCTGGCTCTCCTGCACTGACTCATTTCGTACTTCTGTTTCAGAAATGACCTAACTTTTTGTGTGTGATGGTTAATTTTAGCTGCCAACTTGACACAGTCTAGACTTTCCTGGGCAGAGTCTCAGTGGGGGCACGTGACTGTGTGTGACGGTCCAGCACACTGTGGGCGGCCCTGCTCCCGGAGTTGGGGTCCTGGTGAGTCTGTGTCACGGGGAGCCATGAGATGAGCACTAACAGTGGGCATTCATTCCTCTGATGGATGTGATGTGGGTGTGACGTGAGCCGCTCCCGGCTGTGACAGACAGTGTCTGAACTACAGCAAACCCATGCTCCCCTGTGGCTTTCCTCAGGGCGTTTTATCACAGCAACAAAAATAAAACCGGGGTAGCATCAACCCCTGGGCCTTACGCAAGTCAAACATATATCCCACCAGAGCCCACAGCCCAGAAGATATGCATTTGCTCTTTATTTGATTGACTTACTCTCTTGAGACACAGTGTTGCTGTGAAACCCGGGCTGACTTTGAGTTTGCAATGCATCTGCTCCCCAGTGTGAGCATTGCCGTTAACTGTCGCCACGCCTGGCTAGAAAACTCGTTTTTTAATTATTATTTAAAATCTTACATGTATTTACTTATTTGTGTGTGTGTGTGTGTGTGTGTGTGTGTGTGTATGCACATGTGACAGTGTGTGTATGTGTGTGTGTGTGTGTGTGTGTGTGTGTGTGTGGTCAGAAGACACCTGCAGTAGTCTAAGTGGGGATTGAACCTGGCAGCAAGTGTTTGCCATCTGAACCACTTTGCTAGCCCCTAGAAAATCTTTTTTCTAAAGCAACAGTCAGACAGATTCCCTGTAGCAAATTCTAGTTTCTCCCCAACCCCGACCCCCCAGACAAGGTTTCTCTGTGCAGCTCTGTGCAGTTTCTCAGTGTCCTGGAACTCACTCTGTAGACCAGGCTGGTCTTGAACTCACAGAGATCCGCCTGCCTCCTGAGCACTGGGGTTAAATGCGTGCGCCACCACTGCCCTGCTCAAATTCTCATTTCTTGACACAGTTTCTCAGTCTCCTTATCTTGAAGAGAAGAGTCAGGCCAGCGGACGGCGGACTCACTGGGGGAAGGCGCTTGCTGCCAAGCCTGTTAGGTTGAGTCCAATCCCCAGGATCCACGGGGTGGACGAAGAGAACTCTGGCAAGCTGTCCTCTGACTCACACATGGGTTGTGGCATCCGTGCCTCCTCAGTGCACACCAAAAGTAAATAATAAGAAATCTGTGTTTATATGTGTACACACATACACACACACACACACACACACACACACACACACACACACACATTTCTTTTTCTTTTTTAAGAGAAGGCCCAACTACAGTATTTGCTTCCTGGAGTTATAGGGAAGACTGAGTAGGTATAAGAAAAGTACTCAAACAAGTACCCAGTGCTCAGTAAGCACCAAGCAAATGTTTTCGGGACCTCTTTCTACCACACAGGGCATCTCTGAGTCAGCACTCCTCAAATCTTTAACATCCACTCTTTTCCTTATTTCACACAAGGGGACACTCCTCCCTTGGTGAGCCCTCTCAGCTTTCAGGACTGAGGGCCGGAAGTGTTGTGATGGGAACCAGAAGTGCCTGTGGATGCTTCCTCCTGAGAAGACGCGGGGTCTGACTAAGGCTTGGCTATCCTTGTTTTCTCTCTGGCCCTCATCCCCAGGCTAGGTCTTAGGTTTGCATGTTCACTCTGCACGGAGAAGAGCAGGTTACGTCGATTCCCGCTCTCACATGTACTGCTAGAGCAATCAGAAGAAACGATGTCTTGAGAAAGCAGACTCTGTGAGTCTGGCAGCAAGCTGTGACCCGGCTTCCAGGACCACGAGGGGACAGCATGCTTCTTGTTGCTGTTGTTACAGTTTGTTTGGTTTTTTAAGATGAGACACTAAGGCCATACAGCCTGGACGCTGCTATCTGTGACCTACTATTTAACTTTAAAATCTCCCACAGTGTTTCCTGTAGATTAGGCTTTGCTACTGTGACTGTCCTAAAAGTGACCTATGCTTCTTTTACTAAAACCAACCTCAATCCCTGTTGAAAGGCTGTAAAACGTTTAGCAAAAAGAAAGGAAGGAAGGGGGCTGGGGAAATGGCCACCATTAAGCTGACAGCCCACAGGCCTAGGTTCAGACCCTGAGTACCCAAGTGAACCTGTAAACCCCCAGTGAAGTGGGTGAGAGAGATGGGCAGAGACACGGGCAGATCCCTGGCCAGCCAATCTAGCCGAATCAGAGAGCTCCAGGTTCAATGAGAGACTCTGCCTCAAACAAGTAAGGGAGAGCAGGACCAAGGAAGGTACTTGGACATACAACCTGGCCTCCATATGCCTACACACACACACATACTCCCACACGCACACATTCTCACATATGCATACACGCACACATTTTCACACACACATACACATGCATGTGTACACACACACAAACACACACACATATGCACATGAATGCACACACTCACATGCACACATTTTCACATACACACATACACATGCATGCATATACACACACACACACCACAAACAAACAAAAATCTAGAATCAAACAAGTTAATCTATAACCTGAAGCTCTTGGAAGCCTTTTTAGCAAAGTTCGGTATGCTGAGTACAGTGGCCAGTTACTCGGGAGGCTGAGGCAGGAGGATCTCTAGTTCCAGGACTACAAGAGCAAAACAAGAATGCTTGTCTCAAAACAAACAAGTAAACAGTGCCCAGTGACTTCACCTTGATCTCCAATTAGCTTCTAGGACAAAACCAAACCACCTCACTGCGCACACTCGCACACTCCTTGCATGCACAGTCCGTACGCTGTAAACCAAGCTGTGGCCGGCAGTGGAGAAACACAGAAAGGTGAGAGGCAGAACAAAGGGAGAGAACACTACATGATTCAAAACAGAAAACCAAGTGAGAAACCGAGAACTCATTGTAGTCTGCCGAATAAATTCCTCAGGAGGCTGAATTTGGACGTTGAGGTTTTAAACCTGAAAGCTGCCCCCTTTCCTTTCCTAGGCGGAAGTCAACTCTTACTGTGAATGGAACAAAGGGATTAACTTTCACCACTAAAGGAGGTTACCTGGCAGCCAGACTGACTTGAATGGGCCTCTGGTGGGGGGGAGGTCATGAGATCTCTGTCCAAGAGAAATACCTGCCACCCACAGGTCTCTTCACAGCCCTGCTGCCTCCACGGTTCCGGCTGCCCCCCCCCCCCCAGCAGGTCCCAGCAAGGATGCCCACAGAACATCTACTTACTATTTATACTCCACCTGGTAGACCACTGGTCTCGTGTCGTTGCTGGGGGGTGACGGCTCCCAACTGAGAATCTGCTCGTCATTGTACAGGTGAAGCTCCAGGTGCTGAGGGGCAGCAAGCTGGGGAACGGGGTCTTGAGAGGAATAGGGAATTCGGGGGATGGGGCGGATAGGGGGTGGGGGTGGGGCAGATGGGGATGGGGAGATGGGGCAGATGGGGAAGGGGGATGGGGTGAACAGGGAATGAGAGGGGGAATGGGCAAACAGGGAATGTGAGGGGGAGTGGCGGGGAGAGAAGGGGGAGATTTCAGAAGAGAAGGTTCAGTTACAAAACATTTCAGGGCATGTTATCAAAGCCACTTATTCAACACAGCTCTTGGCACAGTTCAGGAATGGGAGTGCCTGCTCTCCTGGCGCATCCTCGGGGTCTGATTGTGAGGATGCCACTACGGACAGGTGGGAGAAGGTTGAAGCCACACCTCCACCTGTGGGCTCCAGCTGCTAGAGCGGCTGGTGGGACCCAGCCTGGCTCCACCGGCATCTCAGATTTACCCTCTGTGACTGCCCTTGTCTCTGGGCGGCCCGAGTCTCCATTTTTCTACAAGAATAACCCTCACCCTAAGCAGTAATAGAACACCCCACAGAGCTGGAGTAAAGATCCTGTCAGGAAGGATCTAATTGGCCCAGGTAGGGTACCAAGATGACCCTGCATGTGTGTGGGGATGCAGACGCCCCAAATCAGACAGGCAGCTCCCAAAGGCACGTGACATCATCTGCTCCTCCAAGACCCTCAGCACTCATTACCGAGGGCCGGCATAGTGTGCTGAATACCAAGTTCCATACCACAGGTGAGGAAATGCACCGCCTCCCAGCTTTGAGAGCCACAACTGACAAAATAACGCATTCCCTCGATTTAACAGGGTCCCCCTCTCAGGGTGACCCGAAATAAACCAGTTCCAACCCATCCTGTCAGAAAGATACTCTGTAGGCGGGGCTAGAGACTGAGAACACTGGAACCTTCTCTCTAAAGAGACATCATGATAACACTTTCTCTGATCGAAAGATTAATGAGAAATATTCAGAAGGTGGAAAGAAAAACATGCTGCTCCAGAATTCAAAGCAGGAAATTCAAACCACATGTTTTCTGAAAGCTCTTCTGAGCGAGCCCAAAGAAGGATGCAGAGAGCCTCCAGCCCCGACCTCCCCACCCCACCCTTCCCCTGCGCCGTGGCATGCCATACCACCACCAGGCTGCAGCCGCCCGTCTATTCACAGGATGCCCGGTGCCTCCACCTCTGTGAGCTCCGGCTGCTCTCACCCTGGCTCTTCTTTCAACACTGCTGCCCATTCACATGGGGCCGCAGGAGAACCTGCACCAAAGTCAGACTGGCGAGGCAGTGTGGCAGAGGGCAGGCCCACTCCGCTCGCTGAGGCTGATTCTCAAACCGAGCAGATGGCCAGCGGTCTGCCTGCCCGGCGCCCATGAGCTGAGGGCTTGGCCCGCAGCCAGGCGCCCATCAAGGAATCTCAGAGACGCGCTTTTTTCCCTGCCTGCATGGGGGTTCTGTCGCTGCTGTAGCATATCACCTCAAAGCAAGAGCTTTCAACAACCCAGATGTCACCTACCATTTATCATTTTATCATATGTGTCATTTATCATCATTCTGGAGGTCAGAGGTGTGCAACAGACCCAGGATGGAGGTGGCGGCAGAGTCCTCCCTGTTCCTTCTGGAGATGCCAAGAGAAAAATCTGGTTCCTCCCTTTTTAGAGCGCTGGAAGCTATTTGCACTCTGGCTGGCAGCCCTTTCTCTGGTGGCGCTGGGCCAAGTCACTCTTGTGTCACCCGCCTCTCTGTTCTCTTTCCTGGCTCCTTCTTACATCTTCAAAGACCCCAAGTCTGTGTAGCTCAGAATCTAGGATCATCTCCCCACCTCGGGATCTTCTTCAGCTCATCCCTGAAATGCCCCTTTCGTCATATCAGGTCATGTATTCCCAAAGTCCGGGGATTCGTGCCTGGCCCTCTTTCAAACCACGTTATTCTGCCCGCCACACCTTCTCTTCACCATCTCTCACATCTTTGGAGGAACCAGAGGAATATTTCTCCTTCTCCTGGGACCCTATCTCCCAATCTAAATACCCATCTAAGAAAAGGAAGATCAAGGGACCCAAGTTAGAAAGAACTTTACCTAACATGGGAGAGCAAAGACATCCTGTTCTCGGGTCCAAAAGAAACTCAGGACAAATGGCTAACAGCAGTGTCTATTGGCATGCCAAAGCGTCTGCTGGCCTCCAGCCTCACCCAGTACCTGGGGCTCCCCTCAGCTCTTCTCACCCACTCCCTACCCTAAACTTCTCCAGCTCGTGGGCTCCCCGCCCCGCACCTCTCATCCCTGTAGAACCCGGCCATTTTGGCCATACGCCCTCCTGGACCTCTCTTCTCTCTCTCTCTCTCTCTCTCTCTCTCTCTCTCTCTCTCTCTCTCTCTCTCTCTTTCTCTCCTCACTTGGCTTTCCAAGGTATGGTTGAGGGGAAGGTTTTTGTTGCAGATATGAGGGAGAGTGCAGCCAGACACTCTGGAGGGCCCATCCTTGAACTCCATCCTCTCCACTCCAGCTCCCCTGCCCCCGGGAAACACTCAGCCCACCACTGTACTTGGGACCTAGTTCTGCTGTTCCCTCTCCAGCAGGCCTCCTCCTCCTGGTCTGCTCAGCCACTGCCTCAGCAGAGTGACCTCCTCCTGTAACAAGTCCAGAGCCGGGTGTGTGTGTGTGTGTGTGTGTGTGTGTGTGTGTGTGTGTGTGTGTGTGTGTGTGTAAACTTGCAAACCTGCCCTCAGCTCTTGCTGTGTTTTCCCCCCAAAGCTCAATTCACACCTGAGTCCTTCACACTGGGGAGGTCAGAAGCACAGACTTTAGGACTGGATAGCCTGGGCTCCTCCGCCATTGTCTTAGGCTGGCCTCCAACTCAGAGATCTGTGGGAGTGCTGGGATTAAAGGCTGAGCCAACCAGGCCCCGCTTCACAGCGCACTCTTACTACAGTTCTCCTGGGGAAGGAGTGAGTTCTTTTGACGCAAAGGTGTGTCCCACCAGTACGCTCCAAGATCTGTTCATTTGGCTGCTGGCAGCTGTCTGTCAGTCCCCCCTCAACACTAGAGCATGCACTTTGAAAAGGTGAGGTGTTGCTGGGCTTGGGGGTGTTTTCTCCCGGGCCCTGGAACAGCTGGCACAGACGTGTGAGTGAGCATTACATTCTTCCCTTTGGAACCCCACAAGGCCCAGACTCTCTTCCTTGCCTGCTTTGTGTTTGAGCCCATGGTTTGTCTCACCTCACAGGCCAGGGCGGGGGGTGACAATTCTGGGCTAGAGACTTCTCTGGAGGCTCCCAAAGACTTGTGTTAGTTCCTTTTGAGTCACTGTAACCGAACTACCTGACAGAATGTGGCTCATGGTTCCAGGGGATTTCACGCCATCCTAATGGGGAAGGCATGCGGAAAAGGCTGTCACTGGCAGCCAGATCCTGTGTGGTTGCATCCCCAACCTGGCTGACCTATTCTTAAGTATCTATGAAGTCTCAAGTGTCTGGAGCCCAGGCACATCACAGGGGTGGGGCAGGGAGGCAGGATGGAAGGACCTGTGGCCGAGGTGCAGAGGGCAGGCTCACGCAGACTACACCCTGCTTATCTCTTTATACCACAGTGCTCCGCTCCGTGACTCAGTGACTGCAGGCGCGTGGAGAAGGCAGGCAGAGTGGAGCTTTGCTCACCCTCCTAGGGTCTGGGAGCTTTACCAGGCAGGCGCTGCAGTGTCTTTGAAGCCCTGGCATCCACCCACGGGGACCATGTTGGTTTCCTATTGTTGCTGCAGCAAATGACCCACCGCCTTGGTGGCTTGAGACCAGAAACATTATCTTACAGTCCTGCGGGTCAGAGCGAGGCAGGTGTTTCAGGGGCAAAGGTCATGGTCCTAGGAGCCTCAAGTGGCAGAATCTGCTCCCTTACCTTGGCTAGATTCTGCTGAAACAGTCTCCCATGTGACACAGGACATAACCCAGACATGCCAAAATAGTGTCCCTGTTTTAAGATCACGTGTCTGGGGACCTGTCCCTTTTTATGTAACCTGACAGTCACAGGACACAGGCATCTTGGGGAAGAAGCATGCTGATGTGGCCGTGACGGGACAGAACCACTGAATATTGTGCCAGCCTGAGGCCACCTATCGATGGCCACTGCAAATATGTCTCAGGAACCAGCTCACTACCTCCATACCTATGGGGAACCAGGAACCAGCCTGTTCTTATAATCTTAAAAAAGACATCATTAATTAATTAATTAATTTGTTGGGGTGGGGGGAGAGGACTTGTGGAAGTCGGCTCTCCTGCTACCATGTAGGTCCTAGATATCACTGTCAAGTCACCAGGCTTGGCAGCAAGCAGCCATGTCCAAAACTTGACATCGTAAAATGGAAAATAATCACATCTTTAAAACAATGAGACTGCTGTCTGGTTTTGCCTTTCACTTTTTTTTTTTTTTAAAGATTTTATTTGTTGTTTTTACTTATGTGTATGTGAGTGTGCCTGTGAGTGGCTATGTGTATCCTGTGTTTGCAGGTGCCCATGGAGGGCACCAGATCCCCTGGAACTGGTGGCTGTGAATGGCCTGATGCGGGTGCTGGGAGCCGAACCCCATCCTCTGCAGGAGCTCTTATCGGCTGAGCCGTGTCTTCAGCCCGACTTTCACTTATGATCTTGGGTTTGCCTCTCACAATTCTATGGGAAGGAGTGTCATTCTTTATAAGGAAACCTGGGGTGAGGACTAACAGGATTCCGCGGCTCTAGGCAGGATTCCAGACGAGGCCCTCCATCCATCCATAAGCTTCCTTCTGTTCCCAGGATGCCTTTGTCAGCACCACGGAGAGCAAGAGCTATGGCCCTAAAATGAGAGCTACGGTTTGGGGCTGAGACGTCCCCCACAGGCTCACGCTTTGCGTCCGGGGTCTCCAGCATGGCATGCTATCACAGGGCTGGGTAGCCTGTAAGTGTAGGACCTGACTGGGAGTAGGTCAGCAGAGACCGATCTTTGAACATTAGATCCACACCCTGGTCTTGCCCTCTCTGCCTCTTGGTCAGCTTCACATGAATCATAACTAATGCCAATGATCTCACCTCCCACACCTGAAATGGGACAGGTAAAGAAACAGTCCTCAGCCTTAACCAGGAAGTTAATCTTTTTAGTAAATCCCCAATAGCAAGTTTTTTTGGTTTGTTTGTTGTTGTTTTGTTTTTTGTTTTTGTTATTTGCTTGCTTAGTTTTTTCTTTCCTCTTAGATCATTTGCCTCTTCCTGGGAGTAAAATACAAAGATTATCTACCTCAAAAGAACGGTTGAAAACAGAGAAAATGCACACAAAGCTTAGCAGCTTGTCTCAAGAAACGGGAGCTGGGATGATCAGTTATCCAGCTACAGACAGTTTCACCTGCAGAGACAGTGCCCAGACAGGAGACTCCTAATGCCCATTCCTTTCCAACGGCTTCTAGGTCATCTGGGACTTCCTGTCCTTGTCAGTGGTGTCTACGCTAACTACAAGTTTGGACATTTATTCCTTCAAGCTAGAAAACAATGGCAATGAAATCCTTACACTCCACAAGCACAACACACACACACACACACACACACACACACACACACACACACACACACACACACACACACGAGAGGCCAATCCAGAGTACAAGTGGAGGCCCTGATTCTTCAGTGTAGGTGATTAAGTAACTAAAGATGTTGTCCTTTTTTTTTTCTTCTCTGATCCATAGCAAAGAGCTGCCAATTAACAAAACCACAGAGAGTAATCACGGACAGTTTTGGGCCCAGTATTTTTATGCTACCCTTGAACCTACTGGAAGGGCTTGATATTATAAACTTTCCTTTCAAAGTCTTGTTTCTGGGGGCTAGAGAGATGGCTCAGCATTTAAGAGTCCTTGCTACTCTGTGGAGTCCCAGCATCGATGGAACAGCATGGGACTCTTCCCAGCACCTGCTGGCCACATGATCACTGTTAACTCTGCATTGTGACTAAAAAGTTCTGGGGAAGGTTTTTCTCTGTGTAGGCCTGACTGACCTGGAACTCAGTCTGTAGACCAAGCTAGTCTCAAACTCTCAAACTCAAGAGATCTGCCTGCCTCTGCCTCCTGGGTGCTGGGATTAAAGGTGCGAGCATCACTGCCCTTTTCTTTGCTTTTTGTTTAATATCCCAGTAAGGCTTTTGTTTTGTTTTGTTTTTTTCAAAAAAGCATGAAACTTTCAAATTGTTACTTGTTAAAAGAGTGGTACGAGAGTCTAGGAGATTTGCACAAAGGGATTTGCACCACTTCCAAGAGACCTAAGGATCCAGTTTGTTGTCAAGGAGCTACAGAGCAAAACTTTTGTGGAATAGAATAAAAGTTAATCATCAGAAAAACGGCCGCGCCCCACGATGTCAGTTGTAAAGTTTCTAACTATGTCTGTCAACCTCTGGACTCAGAGCAGGTGAATTACAAACAGTTCACAGACACCTTCTGCAGCCCTGAAACCAAGTACCACCACTTGTCTATCACCCAGATTGACAACCACGGGCTCTCTTCCAAAGGAGACCGAGGGAGGGGCAGACAGAGATTGCTCAAGGCAAATTCGGGGAACATCCCCCAGGGTTCAAACCATTTTTCCATGAGAAAAAGTTAACCGCGTAAGCAGGGTGCCTCCCTCTGTGAGAACCCCTGCCCCAGGGAGACAGGGAACTTAAGGGCCTTAGCTCGGGATGCTGACAGAAGGACCAAGCCCTCAGAGACACCTTCAAACGGAAGGGAACTTCCTAATTCATGAAATTATTTAACTAACTAAAGCACCACCACCACCAAAAAAACACAACAAAAAACAACAACAACAAAAACAAAAAACAAAAGCAGGGCTGGCTGGGGGTAGCCCAAGCTGGCCCAGAAACATAAGGACCCTCCTTTCTCATCCTCAGTTCTGCCGGTTTTTTTTTACAGGCGCGCACCATACACTCGCTGTAGACTCCAGCTACCTAAGCTTTGATACTCTGTCTGCATGGGAAAGAATCCAGCAAAACATAAACCAATACACAGAATGCTCTACGTCAGTGAGGTATTCTTTCATTGGTTTTGATTACCGAGTCATAAATATAGTCAAGGAAGTGACCGAAGTTAAGCCCAGGTAAAGGGCTGTCTAGGTGGAACGGGGCAGAGTTGGAATTCAAAGTCTGGCTCAGCGGATCCCCTGTCCTCAGACACTGGAGGGGACACGGGCATGTCTGCTCCTCATTTGTAAGACCCCGAGACACTGAGTACCAGGATTTTATAGGCCGCCCAAAGCAAACGCTGGTCCTTGCCCTTCAGCTGATGTCCCTGGCACCAAGCAGCCAACAAAGACGGAGACCTCCTCCGGCTTCCCAGCTCCAGGCCTGGAATTCCCCCGGTCCCCGCCACCCTCCCGGCAGCTCCCTCCAGCAGAATCCTCGGGGTCAGCCCACCCACCGCCCGATCGCGGGCCCCGGCAGATCGGGAACCGCTGCAGAACCCCCCACCCCCCACCCCCGGACCCTGCGCCGGCCGGGTGCAGGCTCTCTCCCGGCGGCACCCACGCGTGGACGCGACACCCTGGGAGACGGGGATCCGGGGCCGCGCTTACCTGGCTGGGGCGCAGCGGCGCCGAGGCCACCGAGCAGCAGCGACAGCAGCCACAGCGGCGGAGGCCGCATGGCCCGGGCGGCCCGGGACCGCGGGGGTGGACGCCGCTCAGAGCCGTACCGCGGCGGCCATGGCGAGCGCAGCGCCGCCTCTTCCCAGCCGGGCCGCAGAGCCGCCCCGCCCCGCCCGCGCCCCGCCCCCGCCCGGCCCGCGGGACTTTCCCCGGCGTTCCCGGGAACTACGGTCCGGGCAGCCCGCCACCCTGCCGCGGTGGCCCCGGCCGCACCCAGCCCAGCCGACCTCCAACCTCTGGGACCATCCTTCTGGAGAGACCCGGGGACACCCAAGCCCCACCCCACCTTCTGACTCCCGGCACCCAAAACTTGAGGAGCTGTCTGTCCATTTACTCTGTATTCTGTTCTCTTGAATGATCCAGCAGGACATGCTAAGCTTTGGACTCTTTCGAGCAGAGGGTTACTTAGGGGTATAGTAGAGAGAGAGGACCCGCTGGGACATGGTGTCACAGAGAAGGGGCAGGAAAGGTAGAGGAACTTGATTCATTGCTTAATACTCTGTGGGTTTTGGCCCTGTGTGGTTGTGAAGCGTAAGAGGAAGTGACCCCAGAGAGGGGCAGGCACAGGCTCCCAGCCTGAGCCCTTCTCAGGGGCAAGCCTGTTGGTAGAGAAGTTCGCACCGGCTCCATCCTCCTGCTCAGCCACAAGGAAGGGGCGACAAAAGGGGATGGATGGGTCGATGGAGACCGAGAGTCAAAGAAAAGGGTCCTCGGAATCCAGATCCTCTTTAAGAGCAGCAACTGCGGGTAACCCCCAAGCCTCTCTATTCCCTTTGTGGTTTTTTGAGATAAGGTCTCAGGTAGCCCTGGTTGACTTTAAACGGGCTGTACGTTAGTCATGGGCCCACAGACCCTCCTTGTGTCCTCACATAACTCTTGACGTTGGCCTGTGCACTGGCTGGTTTTGTATATCAAAAGCTAGAGTCATCAGAGAGAAAGGATCCTCAGTTGAGCAAATGCCTCCATGAAATCCAGCTGTAGAGTATTTTCTCAATTAGTGATCCATGGGGGAGGGCCCAGCCCATGGTGCGTGGTGCTATCCCTGGGCTGGTGGTCCTGGGTTCTACAAGAAATCAGGCTGAGCCCGCCAGGGGAAGCAAACCAGTAAGCAGCACCCCTCCATGGCCTCTGTATCAGCTCCTGCCTCCAGGTTCCTGCCCTGCATGAGTTCTTGTCCTGACTTACTTTGGTGATACAGCAATGTGGAGTGTTTATTCAGTAAGCTGAATAAACTCTTTCCTCCCCAACTTGCTTTTTGGTCGTGGTGTTTCGGCATAGCAATAGAAACCTAAGACAACCTGTTATAAAGATACAGGATGAAATATCTAGCAAGAATGTGAACTATGCCTTGAGTATTTCAAGACACAAAAATGTACTTACAGGCCAAGCGAAAACAGGAGAGTTTGTCGGGATCCTTCTCAACATGTGTTGAAAATGGCAAACGAGAGAAAATTAACCCATAGGCTGTGGACTATGGATGAGAAGCGTTCACCCCACCTCGTCCTATTGGTCTTGTTTTATTTATTTATTTATTTATTTATTTATTTATTTATTTATTTATTTATTTATTTATTTATTTGTTTATTTATTTATTTGTTTGTTTGTTTATTTATTTGATGCAGGGTGTCAGTTAAGGCAGGTACGTGTGTCTGCCTTAGCTGAGGCCATAAAGAGCTTGTAACCAGGCTGGAGAGATGGCTCAGAGGTTAAGAGCACTGACTGTTCTTCCAGAGGTCCTGAGTTCAATTCCCAGCAACCACATGACAGCTCAAAACCATCTGTAATGAAATCTGGTACCCTCTTCTGGCCTGTAGTCATACATGCTGTATACCTAATAAATAAATAAACAAACAAATAAGTAAATCTTAAAAAAAAAAAAAAAAGAGCTTGTAACCACTGAGCTTTTTAGCCTTGTAGTCTTGACCCCAGATAGGAAATCTTCGGAAGAGCTGCTGCCGCCCTGTCACACACCCCCACCACACCCCTCTCCAGAATTCTCCCTCCGGAGCTCTTCTCTGCTAAAACGAAGAGGATTTGTTTTCCTGGCAGAAGTCATACGCACAGTGCAAAAGGGCCTTCCTTGGATTAGCATCCCATTGCCTCAAGCATACAGCACCCAAAATGCAAGTAATTCTCTCCTTGCCCCACGGCAACTTTGTCAGGGCAAGGCCAACTCGGTGCTGGCTTGCATTCTCCTGCCCTTCCTGCAGAGAGGAGTCCTGATGTCCTTGATAGCTGGCTCTTACTTCTACTGAGATCTGGCAGCTGCTGATAACGGGAACTTAGTTTTACTGGCATTTCCTGTCTTTCCCTCTGAGCACCTGTATAGCATTAAGTCATGTACCTCCATTTCTGTGTATTCTCTTAACTTAGTTCCCAGCTGTTTCTCCCCTTTAGAGGCAAGTTTACTGTGGACACAATAAAATGATTAAACCTCAGGGCATTTCATTTGCATCTTCCGAGACCATGAGAGCAGAAGCTGTTCCTGGCACTGTGTGTACACAGTCAAATGCTCTTAAAAATATTTATTTTACATGTATGTGTGTGTATGTGTGTGTGCGCGCACATGCACCACATGTGTGCAGGAGTCTATGAGGTCAGAAGAGACTTCAGATCCCCTGGAACTGAAGTTATAGATGGTTGTGAGCTGCCATGTGAGTGCTGGGAACTGAACCCTGGTCCTCTTCAAGAGCAGCCAGTGCTCTTCTGAGCCGCCTCTCCATCCCCTGGTCACGTGCTTTTGTGAAATCTGCAAAGTGGCAGGAGCTTGCAGGCACTTGGTTAAGACTCTGTGTCTCCTCTTTGAGGTTCTTTCTGACACACTTCTGTAGGGAAGCGCTGGAGTGGCTGTGAGAGGCTCGAGAAATGCCAGGATGTTCACAGCATATACAGATGTAGGTCAAGAGTAGCTGTGAGTCAAAAGGGAACTTTCCAAGTCAGCAATTACACAAACCAAGTTTTAGAGCTGGAGAGTTGGCTCAGCGGTAAGAGCACTGGCTGTTCTTATGGAGACCCCAAGTTCAGTTCCCTGCATCCACGTCAGCCGCTCTGTGTCCTGTAACTCCCGCTCCAGGGCATCCAACAACCTCTTTTGGACTCTGGGCCCTGCACTCACATTGCACATACACACAGACACACATATTGTCCAATAAAATATTTGTCAAAAGCAAATTTTGGCTAGTCATGCTAGAGGAAAGACTAAATTTATCTGTGTACACACACACACACACACACACACACACACGCGCACACACACGCAAATGTGTTCACATATGTAGAGATCAACACTTGCCATTTGTCACAGTTACACACGTCTCAACTAATTGTGAAGTTAAAAGGAACTTTTCTAACTTACAGGTTAAAAAGCAAATTTTGATAAGTCATGCCACAGAAGGGGCTGAAGTACCTTCCTGTCTCCATAGAGGCGAGGATAATAACATAGTAAAAGAAGCAAGTAAAGGGAATTAGGAAGCAGGGTAGGCAGTCACAAGGTTTCCTTATTTTCCTAGATTTTGTGAATCTGGCAGCCTTAAAATGGTAATCTGTTGTTTATTTTCTCATTCTAAATTAATATTTACCATTGTGCCTAATTTCATATTCTTTATTATATATTATTTTATATGAAGAGAGTTCACATATATTATACGAACTTTGGCTCTGCAAAACCTGAATCTGCCCCACCTCTTTCCAGAAGTCACTGTCTTTCATCCAGACACTTGGTCCTGAAAGCTTTCCCTCCTGCTAATAGCCTGCTTGCAGGAGGATGCGGGCACGCCCCCAGAGCAGGTGGATGGAAGTGTCAGAGAGGCCAGTGATATGTCTGGGTGTCTCGGGTCCCTCGGTGCTCAAGGTCCCGACTCCATTGCACAGACTCGGAGGCCATCAGGGCTAGGGACCGTTCCCACGAGTGGATTTGTCTTGTGCCGTCTTGGCTGAGCCGTCACCGCCCTTTCTGGAGTTCCTCTCTGGGACTGAGTCGGAATGGGTGGGAACAGGTGTTTGTATACAGGGTGTATTGGGTAGCAGAAAGTGCACAGCCATAATCCTTGCTCTTGGGAGGTTGGTTGTGAGTGAAACCTTGTCACAGGTCACAGAGCGTGGCTTATCTGTTGGCATCCTGGGTGGCAGGACGGAGCCCCTGCAGGACATTCCACCACCGCTGCTCCGGCTCCCAGCCAGCTGTGCTTGGTTTTGCTCTGTGGCAAAGAGTGCTAGCTTTCCCTGCAGGACGCCTGCGTGAATATTCAAACTGGAGGACTAGTAGTGGCGAGACACTTGGGGACTGGACTCTAGATAGTCTCGGATGTTAGCTTGTCCCTGCTTCCGCTCCTTCCTGTTGTTCACTTCCTCCCAGTTTCCTGCCTAAGAACTTCATCCTCAGACATAGGAAAGACAAGGCCACACAGACTGTGGCCAACTCCTACAATGGTCTCAGATCAAATCTTTCTAATATCCTCGTTACACACATGTGCGCGTGCGCACTTGGCATAGCGGCTCTGCTGCTCTGAGCAAAGCCTGGCTGAGCTTGCCGCAGATCACATGACCGGTAAGTGATGGTGTGGGCTCCCTCACTCTTGCCTGGTTTCAAAGCCTACTGCAGCTCATGTCTAACTTCTCCTGTAACCAGTGCTGTTCTGAGGCCCACTCGCTGTTAGTACACGAGTCTCTACAGCTGTGCGCAGCTGTGCCCACCTGTGCCCGGCTTTCTGGTTCTCTGCTTCTGCTGCTGTGGATGTACCAGCTTGCCCCTCTTCCTGTCTTCCCTAGCCCCCTGTTCCCATGCCTACAGTCTAAATTCTGAGTTCAATCTCTTGTCTGGGCTTCTGCTCCCCGACAACTTTGGGGCCCTCCCTCATTACCATCTCCCATTGCTTGGGACCACATTGTTGGTCTCTGGCGGGTGATACCTCCACAACAGGCCCACTGAGTTCTGTGTGTGTTTGCAACTGAGTGACCTCTGTGGATATAAATGGAGCCTCGTGTTGGAGTTGAACCCAAAGTAGGACCCTGATGATCGCTGAGTGAACGTTTGGTTTGTTGCCAGGCACCCTCTCTTTCAGGATCAGGCTCAGAAGCTTTGGCACAAATGCTAATGAC